CATCTTCGATAGGACGAAGTTGCATCCATTTGAGTACAGTAGACCGACATTACATCCACGTACCTGGAAAGTTATCATGTTAAAATGGTGAGATTAACAATTTTCAGTCGTGTCTAATTAATATTCAAATAATAAAAATATCTAAATTTGCATGTTGACAGTAAAATATCGACTGCAGGTCAATTATTACATAAGATACGGTATAAAATGAAAATGAAGGCCCTATATATCTTTTGAGTAGCCCTTAAGTTTTCTACTGATGCTACGTTAGTAGAAAATTTTTATTATTATATTTAGATTTTATTAAAATAATTTGATCACAAAATAAATGCATTTTAAAATTGCACTCGTATACCTCACCGTACAAAATTTTAAAATCATCATCACTTCCATAGTTCTTCTAAATATTCTCCGTGGGGGCCAATTTTGATTTGCCAATACGCCTTTTTAATAGAAACTAAGCGATCGAATCAACCTCTGGTGATGAATAGGAGAACGTTAAAAAGAGTGTTGTGAGCAGAAATTTTTGCCGTGAGACATAGGAAGCGGAGCACTTTTCCACTTTTCCTTATAACTGGATTCATCTGAGATGCTCCAAAATTTGATCTATAGTTGAAAAAAAAATCTGCGTCGTTTTTGCAAGGATCTGGTGCTGGTGGTTCTGGTATTCAGAAATATTTTGTTGAGAAAAATGGAAAATTATAAAAGTACCTTAGAGGTTATGGTCTTCCGGATTTCCTGTGTGTGATTAGTTAAGGTGCAAATCAGTTCAGATCTGTGAAAAGTTGTAAAATAAGACAATTACTGATAAAAATTGACAAGATGTTCAACGAAAAATGCTTTAATTTGCGTTGTGAAAAATCGAAGACAACAAATCAAGAAGACTGGCAACTTTTCCTCCCTTAGCTCAGTCGGTAAAGGCGCAGCTACAAAGCAATACCATGCTGGAGGTGGCTGGGTTCGATTCCCGGTCCGGTCTAGGAATTTTTCGGGATGGACAATTTCTCGACTTCCCTGGGCATAGAGTATGATTGTACGTGCCACACAATTATACTAATGCAGAAATGGTACAGGCATCGAAAGCTCTCAATTCATAACAGTGGAAGTGCATCTAGAACACTAAGTTGAGAGCACGCAATAAGCTAATATGCGACATGCTATAAGCTTGAAGTGCGAAGAAGAAGAAGAAGAAGGCAACTCTTCCATTTTCTCATACGAACGCTATGAGACAGGTACAATCGCGTCATCTGCCGCTCAAAGGTAAATGCTTCGAACGCATTTTATAGCAAAGATTACATCCTCAGAAGAAAGGTTTGTGTACTTGCTCATTTTTATATGCGTTGCTTCCACCTTCACTCAAGCGCAGCGCTACTGTATCTGTCGCTTGGATTCTGGCAACGTTGCCAGTCTTCTTGATTTGTTGTTTTCGGAAAAATCCTTATTCTGAAATCGGTTTGATTTACGTTTCCTCTTGAACCCGCCTGGCGCACTCACATTAGCGGTTCATTAAAAATGCCTATAGGATGACGGCTCTACTCACTGAAATTATTTTCCTGAAGAGGTGATAGTAGCGCAAAGGAGGTAAAACGCCGAGCTTGTGCTATCCATCACTACGCGGCAGCACATTCGTTTGTATTAATTTCTATCATGCGCATCACTCTTGGATACTTCTTTACTTTCTGAGCTCACGGAAGAATGGTAGTAAATATCGATGGAAATATATGGAAATGTGTTGTTTACTTGTTGAAAATGAAATGCATCAATAAATAAAGTAATAAACAGCAAATGTGCAGAAATAAAAAAATATTCATATCTATGTATGTCTTGTCGCAATGCTTTGTTTGCCCCGACCATTCGACTTCATTTCCACTGAAAAAGTGGCATCTGTTGCAATTTCATGTTCTATTGGTTTATTGGTTTGGCTTATATCTTCAAAACTTTTGCTCAGATGCCCATAGGTCTAATGCACCACCAACGTAGAGTGCGCCACGCTGGTTCGAGAGGAAACGTCAACGAAACCGTTTGTTTAAATCAAGATAACTATTTTTCACAACGCAAATTACAGCATTTTTCATTGAACATCTTGCCAATTTCCATCGGTAATTGTCTTGTTTTACTGATCTGAACTGATTTTTATCTTAACTATAGGCGAATTCAATAGAAACTAAGCGATTGTTTCAGCCTCTGGCGGTGAATAGGGGAATCATCAAAAGAGTGATATTTTCAGCGTGAAGCATAGCAAGAGGAAAATATTTTCACCTTCCCTGATAAATTTATCCACCGCAGGTGCTTGAAATCATCATCCACGTGGAATATTTTGTTTTCTATATCGGGTTTGCAGTAATCCGGCTGGTGCTTCCATATATTTTTGATGAGAAACATTAAGATTTATAAAATTGTCCCAGCGGTTATGATCTTCCGGATTCTTAATGTGTGGTTATTTCAGCTGTAAATCAGATCAGATCAATCTCTCAATGGAAATTGGCATTTTGTGCAATAAAATGTACATTATTTTGAGTTTTCAAAATCGCCATTATGATGTTAACAAAGAGATTGGATGACATTTCCTCTCAAAATCGGCTAGTGGACTCTACATTAATGGTACATGAGAAGAACCTATTCACACATAAGAAATCCGGGAGATCATAACCACTATTGACGTAGGACTACGTCTGTGATTTCTATATGGGGGTACATTTTGTGAAAACCGAGAATGGAACATGTAACAAAAGTATGAAAGATTTTGAACGTTAATAGCTCAGCTGCCCCTGGATAGATTTCAATAATTTTATCACCAATCGATCAGATAATATTTTAATCAATAATTTTATCACCAATCGATTTTATCATTTGCTATGATAATTAAAATTATCACCGATTGCCTGCGGAAAACGATTTTTTTAACACAGATATAAAAGTTGAATTACATCCGGTCTCACCAAACGGTGTTTATTCAATCACAGCGTGGTGAGTGGTGGTGTTCTCCAGTACACAGCGAAAGGTTCCCCGCAAGCATCTAGCTATCAAGGCTGGCCTCAACCGCTGATCGGATTCAGTTCCACTCACCGTGTGTGGTGGTTTCCGGTCGTCGGCATCAGCAGTAGCAGTGCTTTCGGCTCGTGGCATTGAATATTTTTCTCCAGTACACAACGAAAGGCGGCCTGCAAGCAGCGAGCTGCAGCCCACTTGAGCATCCATAGAAGGAGGAAGAAGCCGCACCGCTATTGATCGGAATCAGTAGCTCTTCGTCAGTCGCTGTGGGCCATGTATGCCAAGCGCGTCACCCTCATTCCAAACAACATTCATCTCACCAGTCTCATCTTTGATTAACACCCTAATAGCTCAGCATTACTCCACCATCACGACAAAACGGTCTTTTTCAGGACCACCATAAATTTGTAAAAGAGCATTTTTTGAACATTTGTCAAGGTCATTAATCGGATGTCAGTTTCCATTTTAAGATAAAGCTGGAATTAAGGCGTAACAGCTTTTATACACAATGACTTCATTCGATGATGTCTTTAAAGGCAAGCCCACACAAATCAACACCAGTATAAACAGCTAGAACCCCGCTCAAATTCCTATTCCTACACAAAACACAAGCTTTTGCTGCAGGTAACAAATAGGATTTATTAAATAAGACCACGTAGTCCTACGTCAACATTGCGTACAATCCCATAGGGCTGTCCCTTGTAGTTTTTTTCCACTCTTATTTTTCATTTTATTCAACAAAAATAATCCTAAACACCAGCAGGATCCTTTCAAAAACGAAACAGAATTAAATTTTTCAACTGTAGATCAAGTTTTGGAGCATCTCAGATGAATCAATTTATCAGGAAAAGTGGAAAAGTGTTTCGATTCCTATGTCTCACGGCAAAAATTTCTGCGCACAACACTCTTGTTGACGTTTCTATTAAAAAGGCGTATATGGGCAGAAATCAGGAATAAGTCTCCACTGAACACGCCTTTGTTATTTTTCTTTCGCCACGCCGGTCGTGGTGGCAACCCCAGTTGATGTGTTCAGGAAACAAAAAAGCATAAATACTGATTTATCTTGCAACACGTACTATTAATTAGTTCTAGCACTATCATTAATTGTATGAATGCACCCACCTATATCGTATGCGAGGGTAACTACCCGAGCAAAGTCGGTTAACAAAACGAAAGCAAATCGATATTAAAGTTTGCAGTTCCTATCATAATTAAAACTCATTTTGATTTCAATTGTCGCGACAGAAGTCTGATATCATATTAAGATTTCATTATGCAGTCAAGACTTTTTAAATCAAAGCAACTTAACTTGAAGTTCTGCTGTTAATTTCTTGTTTAAAATTTGATTTAATTTCATCTGTCGTCGAACTAACGATTATTGTTTATTTGTTTTGTTTAACACATTTTAGGTCATTCGTGACTAGCCCGAGGTGACATTTGAGCTCAAATCTTTCAGCGTGAGAAGCATGGATGCTAACCATTTACGACAGACCCGTTTTCAGTCAAAAATTATGAATGCAAAATCAGTAATCAAAATGATTTCATTGAAAGCAGAATTAGTTTTCCGTTTGATTCAACAGTGTAAAATTTTGCTCTCATTTTTGCTGTGTTAACCGTTAAGTCAACCAAAATGAGATCAAATGGAGTATTCAAAATAAGTTACATCATAACAGCAAATTCTGATTTCAATTTGATCTCTAACTTTGCTCGGGTACCCGTTCACGACTTCTACACTCAACCCCTTCGGACTGAGAGAGGGAGAGCGACTGGGTAATGTCTTTTCCGTATCTCAAATACCTGTACAACCTTTTCATCCGAGGAAATATGCACGATTTATGCTCCGGAATAAATCGCACCGACCTCAACCAGCCCCCCCTTCACCATGTGTTGCAATATCTGCTTATCGTCTAAACGAGACATTGACTAATTACCCCTTATTCCTCAGCTGACCGTGCGTGCCATGACTAATTTACTAAGAGAAATTTCCTTTTACCCTCTTCATCTTCCAGAACCTCCTCGCCGAGTTGCGAGCGCTGAAAGAGGCTAACCAGCGGCTGAGTGATGACAACCAGGAGCTGCGAGATCTGTGCTGCTTCTTGGACGACGATCGGCAGAAGGGACGGAAGTTGGCGCGCGAATGGCAGAGGTTCGGTCGGTACACTGCCAGCGTGATGCGGCAGGAGGTGTCCGCCTATCAGGTGTGTGGCATATCTTTTTTTTTTGAGTAACGTGAGCTCAATTTTTCAATGCGATCATTTTCGTTCTTTTAGACCAAACTGCGGCAGCTGGACGACAAGCAACAGGAACTGATCCGGGATAATCTGGAACTGAAAGAACTGTGCCTCTATCTGGACGAGGAACGATCGAATACCAATCGACCGGCGGGGGTGTGCGGTAGCTGTGGAGCCGCGCCCGGCAGTACGACGACGAATGCTGTTCCTCTCCGGGACGACGGAGACGGAAGCAGCTCCAGTACGAATGCCGACGAGAATATTCACCAGCTCGGAGGAGGGCAGTTCGGAAGGAATGGATTGACGGTGAGTGGATATCACATTTCTCCTAAAATCACATTTTTTCTAATTTTTCAAAGATAATTCACGTGTAAAAACATTTTTTATACTTCATCATGGCATGAAGTTGGACTCAAAAAACCAAAAAACATCGACTTTTTGGTTTTGCTGAAAATCCATTTTTTTTCATGATGAGATAACAAAAATATTTTTACATGTAAATTTTCCCAGGAATCTATGGAAAAGAACTGATTTTCTTGGATTTTTGATAATTTTCCCCAATATTTTTAGAAAATGCCGGAAAAAAAAATTATTCGGTAAACTTTCCCTTAAAACCTGATTGGAAGATTTCGTGGAAAAATTGTGGTTTTTCCGTACTTTCGGTAATATCAGGCCTAACATTTGATAACGGCACAAAAGCATTTGTAAACAAACTTTCTAAGGCCCTTTACACGCGAACCAAAGTACGCCCACGCAAACCAACAACATCATCGGATAGGGGCAACTATCACCTTTCCGAAAGTGGTATTGGTTTGCGTGGGCGTACTTTGGTTCGCGTGTAAAGGGCCTTAGAAAGTTTGTTTACAAATGCTTTTGTGCCGTTATCAAATGTTAAGCCTGATATGGTTTAAAGTGAGCGAGAATGATAAATAGAGTAAAATATGAGCCATTCCTACTCAAGTGGGTACACCATTTGTGGTGGATGTCATTGATTTGAGCCAAACTTAGCAAAACTTAGCCAACACGCTTATTTTGGCATTCGGAGCAAACGCCTTTTTTGATTTAGCTCTGAAGTGCCTAGATCCCTCTCGGCTACAACCCTGGATTTTCGAGATTAAAAAAAAAAGTCATCTTTCAGAAGAGATTACTCCACAACCAGTCAACCGTCAATTTGAAGGTTTTTCAATGTAGATTATTATAGGTGTACTCACATTTTGTTTTTGTTATAGTAACTACAGTAGAAAGACTGTTAACCGGCAGGTATACAAATGTAAAAAAATTGTCTGATTTCACCATGAGCGGGATTTTTTATTTCTTAATATTTTGGGCTCAAATTTTCACCACACTTTGGAAAACTCTTCTACTAGATGTGTTTCCAAAGACAAATGATAGTTTTTGATATATGTATGAGCAGATGAGTGAGTGGTAGTTTTGAGCTTTTCTGGTGGAACATCGGTGATAGAGGAAATGCTTCACCATACCCGAGCGTCTGTTCACCATGGAGGTGCGGCTCAAAACGGCGTCTGTTCTCCATGTTAGGAGCGGCTGATCACCGTCCTAGTGCCAGCGTGGGACTCTAAACAGAGCTGTGCACGTTGGTCCCCCGGCGAGATAATGGGGGTTGGGGCAGGCCCAACAAGCCGCCCTGGAAAAAAACAAAGTTGCAAATACCGAAGAAAGAAATGCGGATCGGAACAATCGGCACAGACCTACGTGACGAAATAAGGACTACGATTGGAAACTCGGAACATGGAACTGCAAATCGCTCGGCTTCCCGGGTTGCGATAGGTTAATCTATGGCGAACTTCAACCACGCAACTTCGAAGTCGTAGCACTGCAGGAACTTTGCTGGACGGTACAGAAGGTATGGAAAGCGGGCATCGAGCGGCTACTTTCTACCAGAGCTGTGGCACCACCAACGAGCTGGGAACCGGCTTTGTAGTGCTGGGTAAGATGCACCAACGCGTGATTGGTTGGCAGCCGATCAACGCGAGAATGTGCAAGTTGAGGATTAAGGGCCGTTTCTTCAACTACAGTATCATCAACGTGCACTGCCCACACGAAGGGAGACCAGACGACGAGAAAGAAGCGTTCTATGCGCAGCTGGAGCAGGTGTACGCCGGCTGTTCGAAACGGGACGTCAAAATCGTCATCGGCGACATGAACGCTCAAGTAGGACGGGAGACAATGTATAGACCGGAAATCGGCCAAACAGCCTGCATGCCGTATCGAACGACAACGGTCAACGATGCGTGAACTTTGCAGCCTCTCGTGGAATGGTAGTTCGAAGTACCTTTTTCCCCCGCAAGGATATCCACAAAGCCACCTGGAGATCACCTGACCAACACACAGAAAACCAAATCGATCACGTTCTAATCGACGGGAAATTCTTCCCCGACATTATCAACGTCCGCACGTACCGCAGTGCGAACATAGATTCGGACCACTACCTAGTTGCAGTATGCATGCGCTCAAAACTCTCGACGGTTCATAACACCCGTCGAAGTCGAACGCCGCGACCCAACATTGAGCAACTACGGGACGCCGGAGTTGCCCAGGACTACGCGCATCAGCTGGAAGTTGGACTACCCACGGAAGAGCAGCTTGGCGCAGCTTCTCTTGAAGATGGCTTGAGGGAAATCCGTTCCGCCATATGTAGTACTGCTGCAGCGGCACTAGGTACTGCAATTCCAGACCGAAGAAATGACTGGTTTGACGGCGAATGCAAACTGTTAGTAGAGAAGAAGAATGCAGCACGGGCGAGAATGCTGCAACACCGCACGAGATTGAATGTGGAGCGATACAGACAAGCGCGGAACAGACAAAACTCGGTTTTCCGAAGGAAGAAGCGACCGAGATCGCGAGGCAATGTAAGATCTGTACCGCGTAAACGACACACGGAAGTTCTACGAGAAGCTAAATAGTTCGCGCAAAGGCTACGTGCCGCAAGCCGATATGTGCAAGGACTTGGACGGTAACCTTCTCACGAACGAGTGTGAGGTGATTGAGAGGTGGAAGCAGTACTATGACGAGCACCTCAACGGTGAAGCAGCAGAAAACGAAGATGGCACGGCAACAGACCTTGGAGCACGCGCAGAAGACGACAGGCTACCGGCCCCTGATCTTCAAGAAGTTGAGGAGGAGATCGGTCGGCTGAAGAACAACAAAGCAACTGGTGTAGATCAACTACCAAGTGAGCTATTAAAATACGGTGGTGAAGCACTGGCTAGAGCGCTGCACTGGGTAATTGCCAAGATTTGGGAGGAAAAAGGGCGACAAGTTGGATTGCTGCAACTACCGCGCGATCACACTGCTGAGCGCCGCCTACAAGGTACTCTCCAAAATTCTATTCCACCGTCTGTCACCATTTGCAAGAGAGTTCGTGGGGCAATATCAGGCGGGATTCATGGGTGCCCGCACTACCACGGACTAAATTTTCGCGATTCAGCAGGTTCTGCAGAAATGCCGCGAATACAACGTGCCCACACATCATTTGTTCATCGATTTCAAATCCGCATACGACACAATCGATCGAGATCAGCTATTGCAGATTATGCACGAGTACGGATTTCCGGATAAACTGACGCGATTGGTCAAGGTGACGATGGATCGAGTGATGTGCGTTGTTCGAATATCGGGGACACTCTCAAGTCCCTTTGAATCACGAAAGGGGTTACGGCAGGGTAATGGACTTTCGTGTCTGCTATTCAACATTGCGTTAGAAGGTGTGATCAGAAGAGCTGGGATAGACACGAGTGGCACGATCTTCAGGAAGTCCATCCAGCTTCTTGGCTTCGCCGATGACATTGACATTATGGCACGGAACTTTGAGGAAGAGGTTCTAGGGAAGATAATGTTAGCCTCCCACCCCGAGTTCAGATTGACGGTGACGAAATCGAGGTGGTCGATGAGTTCGTGTATTTGGGCTCACTGGTGACCGCTGAAAACGATACCAGCAGAGAAATTCAAAGACGCATTATGGCAGGGAATTGTGCCTACTTTGGACTCCGGAGGACGCTCCGGTCGAATAAAATTCGCCGCCACACGAAGTTGACTGTCTACAAGACGCCGATTAGACCGGTGGTGCTCTACGGCCACGAGACCTGGACTATGCTCGTGAAGCCCTTGGTGTTTTCGAACGGAAGGTTTTTGCGTACCATCTACGGTGGAGTGCAGATGGATGACGGAACGTGGAGGAGGCGAATGAACCACGAATTGCACCAGCTGCTGGGAGAACCATCCATCGTCCACATTGCAAAAATTGGGCGACTACGGTGGGCTGGGTACGTCGTAAGAATGCCGCACGACGACCCAGTGAAAATGGTTCTAGAAAGCGACCCAACAGGAACAAGAAGAAGAGGCAAGGTGGATCGACCAAGTAGAAGGCGACTTGCGGACCCTTCGCAGACTACGAGGTTGGCGAAGTGTGGCCATGGATCGACTAGAGTGGAGACGACTTCTTCGGACAGCAGAGGACAACAAGGCCTTAGTCTGATTGGTAAGGTAAGGTATGGTGGAACATTAATTCCCACTCTTAGGCGAATAAACTCACGCATGAGATTTGAGTTATTGAGCTTTCCCGAACACTGAGTGTCATAAAAGAGCACGTTTCCGTCAATTCGTTTTGGTGTCTTCGGAGCAATTATTGTCTTCCGAAGACACCAAAACGATTAGACGGACAGTCGAACTTTCTTCACATTTATCAATATGTGAAAACGCGCTTATCAGTCCAGTTTGGTGTGAAATGCGCAATCTTTTTCATCACTTTAATATCATCAATATTTATTGTGACCTGTTACCTAAGTATAAATCTAATGATAAGTTATCAGTCTATCTTTGCAATTTCTAGCAAAAATTAATGTGAGCTTAGCATCTTGTCACCGGAATGTGTCGGAGAAAACCGTTAAGCACAACATTCATTACTTTTGAAATCTGCATGGTATATAACTGAATCCTTCAACTCGCAACTCAATCAATGCGTTAAGTATCCGCGGATCACCCTTTTATAGCCATAGATCTTCTTCTTCTTCTTCTTCTTCTTCTTATTCTTCTTCTTCTTCTTCTTCTTCTTCTTCTTCTTCTTCTTAATTCATTTATTTAGCGACGGTCTCTGTTCCGCAATCTAGTGTCAATCACCGACCTGCGTAGGATATCGCACCCATCACCACACACATTGGCCTTACTTCCCTTCCGAAGTAAGACTTGGCCAGAGTTTTGTATGCCTCAGAAAAATCCCACCGACCTCGGTTGGAATTGAACCCAGACCCATTGGGGTAAGAAGCAGTCACACCACCACACCACCAGCAATAGACAGCCAAAACGAGTAAACACATAATGCCGGTGGGGTAGTGGTAAGCGTGATAACCTCTCACCCCAACAGGCCTGGGTTCAATCCCAGTCGGCGCCGCCGGGATTTTCTGAGCCATAAAATCTCTGATCAAATCTGAAGGGAAGTAAAGCAAATGTGCGTCTTCAGCTAAGTTTGTGGAAATGATGATTTCCACAATTTTGTAAAACATTTAAATATCGAAAATCGTCAGTCAAAAAAGTTAGAATTTTCAAGTTGCGTCGCAATGAGCATAATTTATGGACGACTCCTTCAAAATATACGCCTTCTTTCATCTAAGAGCTTCTCCGTAGACACCAAATTGATTAAACTTATTCTTACACACACTTTTTATTTTTTTTTCTGGAAATTCGGCCTTCTGGACCACTGTGCATTGATTTCTTTGATCACTCAAAACCTGTAGGTGGATTGATACACTTAAAAAATAATAATAGAACCTACCTAAAGTTCAATTAATAGCACTGATAAAAATAATTTCAATTGTTTTGCACGTGAAAACTTCTTTAACAATAATTCTAATTCAATTCAATATTCCCCTTATCCACCATTTCAGGAGCTCAACCTGCGCTCCGCGCTGAGTGACCAAACCCTGCAGTACGTCCGGTCACTAGAATCTCGAATACGACAGCTGGAAGAGGAACGATGCGCCATCCTCAAAAACGTCCAACCAATCGGCCCCAGCAACGGAACGGGACCTCCGGTAACGAACAACAAGCCGGTTGCCACTGTTCAACCGCCACCTCCACTGCCACCACCGTCCTCCAATTCAGACCCCATATCCGGCCGACCGGAAGCCGTCGTCCGGGCACTTCAGGTGCTTGAAGTACGCGAACAACTCGAACGGGAACGAATTGGCCCCAACATACCAACCGACCATCAGCTAGACGATGGCGAAAAAGCTCTGGTCCGCGAGATGTGCAATGTGGTGTGGCGAAAGCTGGAGGATGCCCCCAACACAGGAATCGATCAGCACGTCTGATGCTCGCCAGTCCAGTATGGAGCGAGAAGGATTAGCATGACTCGGCGGAATTCCATCCCGCTGGCGCTGGAAGCCCAACGAACAAAAAAAAAACATCAACAACAAGAGCACATGGAGGCTTTTTTTTTGTGTGTGTGGCCGAACCGGGTGACGGACGGCTTTAAGGTTTACTCTTGCACACTTCTTCCTCTTCTACCTACTACGATGATGTACAAATTAATTATAATGATTCTTCAGAAAATAGAAAAAAAGAGCTATTGCCACAGATCGGGCTGGCGGTCGCGCGCCTCTTCTCAAAAGAGTAAACGAGGGCAGACATTATTGAAAAGGATTGTACAGAACACTTCAAACAGAGCACAGGAAAAAGTAGACATAACGCAAAATAATAGAAGTAAAAAACATCTTATCCCCAAAAAAGGAGCGGATCGAAATTTGCGTTTGTATGTGGACTTTAAGGAGGTTTCTGAAACCTCGCGCGAGAAAGGGCAGTTTACTACTACTATACAGGAGAACATAACCTATTCAATTAAAGTTAACAAAGTATTTATCATCGTTTATCGTTATATTTATACCCGGATCCACAGGACGGGGAGAAGTGTAATTAGGGGGAAGAAGCGGGAATTAAGGATGCATAAGGAGAAGATGAAGAAGATGAATAAACTAGTTCTTTTTCAGCGATTATGCTTTTCAAGGCGATTTGTAATTGCTCGGGGTTATTTTTGTGAATGTATAAAATGATGTTTGGGGGGGCCTTATGTAAAGAAACACTAATACCTTGAGAAATCTGTCGAGATTTACTTTTGTAGAAATGTGAGCGGCAAGTAATAACTTGGGTAGGTTTTATAATGCAGCAGCAGGAAGAAAATCGGACAATATTTCAGCGCTATGTATCTGTGTATCCTAGGATTTCTTGTTAGAGGTTGTTTTTATATACATAATTTTTATCATTATTAAAAGGTTGTTATTCTTAATTGATTCTTTTTTTTACTGGAAAGAAAGCGACCGTGATGTCACTGTACATGTTTAGGTAAAATTATTTTTATTCGGGTTCAGTTGCAACGCATCATACACGACTTAATTTCCCTTTAGTCAAATTCGCAAAACAGATTAAAACTTTCTTCGATTTTCCTTAAATCTCTGCGTGACTATGAGGAAAATTGAGAAAAATTTACTCAGTTACGAGTGCATTCCCGTGTATGACAATGAAAGTAACTAAAAATTGAATCGAATTTGACTCAAAATGGCAAAAAGTGGGGTTAATCATTTTTCTCGATTTCAAAGGAAACATTTCTTGAATACGAGGAAAACTGCCCTGTGTGGCATAACAGTCCCAGTAGCATTTTTGACGAAAAAGAGTTACCCATTGGAAAAGAACTCAGCGATGAGTAAATTTGCCTCAAGTTTACCTGTGGAAGTCCTCAAAAATTTGCAGGAAAATGAGGAATATTGACGAAAATTTTACTCAGTGAATCTAATCTTTACTTTTCTCATATTCGGGAATTTTTCCTGGAAAAATACCTGGAAAAACTCAGGAAAATTTACTCAGTGTTGAGTTCCGGCACTTTTTGCGGTTTGAGTAAATTGAACTATAATTTGGGTCGATTTCATTGGCCGTGTACACGAAAAGTTTCTTACTTTGTTCAGAAAATGTCGTGAAAAATACCAAAACTATTTTGTCGCATACATAAGAGCCCATGGAGAGAAAAATCTTCAATAGCATTGTTCTCAGCTTGCTGTTTTAACGACTGAGACAACTATGCTGAAAATCCTAGACTGAGTAAAATTTTAGTCGATTTTCCTCATATTCAAGTAGTACTCGCGCAACACGTGAAAAGGGCCTATCATTGTTGATCAATTTTCTTTTTCGCGAATAACCCTACTGCAAATGAATTTCCCATTGAGTGTGTTGTTTCAGGCGCAAACTAAAGCGAACCCCACACGTATCAATATATTGACACGAAGGGGAATTATTGACAATAATATTATGTGAATTCAGAAATATTGTCAATACCGATGTATTGACGTCAATATTGAATGTATTGACAATACGATTATTGTCAATAAAAGCAATCTTGTAGGGTTCACTTAACATCATCTTCTGTCGAACTGTGCTGCGAGCTTTAGCGAGTAATTCGACAGTGAGCATTCATAAGGGCGAATACGCGATGATCGATTCTCTTCATCGATTTTCTCTTTGCATTGCTACAGCTAAGCGAAATAATTTTCAAGAATTTGTTCAATGCAGAGTAGTAACAGGTTGTATTGGCTATCAAAAGCAACAGCAAACGCACCGAGAAACGTTAAATCTAGCGAGTTATTAACAAAAGAGAAAATCGACGAAGAGAATCGATCATTGCGTATAGGCCCTTATGCATGCTCACTGTCGAATTCGTTTATGTTGCCTTGGTAATCCAAAGAGAAAGTCGATGAAGAGAATCGATCAACGAGGGTAGGCCCTTTTCAAATATTACGGTAAAATTTTTCTCGGAACAGTGAGGAAAATTTTACTCACTAACTGAGTAAGTCCACTTTTTGCATTTTTGAGTCGAACTTGACTCAGTCGCTGCGTTATTCTCATTCGCGTGCAGATATTTGAGGAATTCAGTGCCAACATTTCAAAGGGGCGTAATTGCTTTTGTAAACAATGACTTTAGCCATCAATTTCTCGCGAATGAAATCTTACCTCTTCAAAATAACAATGCTAGCTGGTAGAGGAAACATTCCTCTACCTAATGGTGTCATTATTTTTCATGAGTGAGCTTTTATTCGCGAGAAATCGATGGCTAAAGCCATTGTTTACAAATGCAATTACGCCCCTTTGAAATGTTGGCACTGAATTTTTTGGAAAATAGACTCAGTCTATGAGTGACTGGCGGTTTTGTGAACTGGAGATAAGGAATTCAAATTTGAGTTGAACGCAATGGCCGTGTAATTCACGGGCTGCACTGAAAACAAAACTAGCACCAGAGAGAGATTTACTTTTACTCAATAATGAGTAACTGTTCCTTATTCGTATAGGTAAATTTCTAAAAGCGTACACAGAAAAACAAAACTATTATTATTATTTAGCTTTATTTAGGCTGTGAACCATTTGCCGAGTTAAATTTAACTCGTGGTTAAAAGTGACATTTCGAAAGTTATTTTCTATGTTCGAAAATCCCCGTGCTGTCGATCGACCGGTTTTCGAGCCATGGTCGTCAAAATTTAACTTCTTGTCTGTCAGAAATAACCATGCTCGGATAGCAGGGTTAATGGATAACTTTCCATCTGTCAAATTTTAACCAAAAGTTAAAATAATCCACCAAATGGTTCAGAGCCTTAGGAGGCTTTCAGCCTTAGGCTGGTTCGCCTCCAATAAAACAAAACTACCCACCGCTTGGGTTTTTTAAACTCAAATTTGAGTTATTTGACCTATGCCCGTTTCATTTCCTCTCGCTATTGTTGTCAAAAATAGAACGAAAGATTCGACTCAACCGCCTAGTTCCGTACGAGAAGCCAAAATTGAGTAATATGCGATATACCCAAATTTGAGTTAATTGAACTTAATTTTGGGTAGAAAAAATTGAAAATAACTTAGCGATGGGTAATTTTTTTGCCGTGCTTAAATGCAAACTGCTTTGAGCCGGTTTTTTCCCAAATTTGACTTATCGTACGGAACATGGGAGATGAGTGAAAAGAACTTAATTTTGGGTTGTTTTGAATTTCTGTGTAGGTAGTTCAGAGCATGAGTACCTTCACGGCGAATGATAACGTTCCAAATTTGAGTTTAGTTTACTCATAATCGCCAAAAGTGCAGGAACTCAGCGATTTGCGTCATGTGGAAAACCTAAAAAATCTGCCGGAAAATAAGAAAAATTGACGAAAATTTTACTCATTCTAGGATTAGTACACTCAAAAATATTACAAAACGGATATAGATTAAATTTTATGCATTTTATGGTTTTTCCAAATGTATACATTGGTTCGATTAAAATTTTCGTCAAAACTATACTAAGTTCGAATAACGAAGTGGAATTTGATCAGTGTTTACTAAAATGACAGGAAAAAGACCATCTGGATTCCCTTCGGAGCTTCGTGCTGGTGAAGAGCTTTGTCCCGGCGGATTTCTACTGCGACTGTGATCTGCTGGCAGCATCGAAATTCTAAGTATTTTTTTTATATAATATTCAAAAAAATAAACTAATTTAAAAAGCTTAATGAGACAATTTTTATTTTTATTTAAAAACAATAATATTTTCCATAAATAAAATAAAGAAGCGAAAAATACGTTCTCTCGAATAAACCGCATCTATGCATTGAAAGTATTTTTCGATTTTATACTATGGCACGCACGGCACGCATAAACCATTTTTATACTAAGTTTGCATTCTCTCCCTTTATACCGACCTTTGCGTCGGTACGGAGAGTTGCGATTTAGCGTAACTTTTATACTATTTAGATTTCAATATTTTTTTAGTGTACCAATAGAATCGGTGAATCCAATCTTTACTCTTCTCACATTCGGGAATTTGTTCCTGGACAAACTTGGAAAAACATTTGGCAACATTTCGTCATTAGTACATTTTCAAAAGGCGTTATAGCGTGAGGTTCTTGAATTCATGTTGAAATACCAACGGCTCAAATTTGAGTTGCACACAGCTAACCAGAACAACTCAGCGACAGAATTTAATTGACAATTTACCTCATATTGGAGCAGATTTTTAAGGAAAATCGTGGAAAATTTACTCAGTCTTTGAGTAACCTACGTTTTTGAGGTTCTTCACGGCCAACAAGAACGACTCAGCGACTGAATTCAATTAACTCAGAGCATTTTCTTTCCATACGAAATTTACTTATATTTGGGAAAACCTTCAGTTAATCATTAGCTATGAATTCCTCTAGGTACACGGTAAGAAAAAAGTACCCAAAAGTAAGTTCTTTTGTCTCATATCGGCACTATAGTGCAGTAACCCAAAAGTAAAGCGGGTCAAAGTAGTTTTCATTTACTTGTGTGCAATTCGTATGGAATTTCCCACTAGCTTTCAACTCAAAAGTAAGTTAGTTGTACCCAAAAGTAGGTAAATAAGATTATACCCAACGCTGGGTTCCCACACTTTACTGCCCCTGTAGGGTGGTTTTGCTCCTCCGTTTTTGACAACATTAGAAGGAGAAAAGGAGACAAACTAGTCAAAAGTAGGTAAAGTGAACACTTTGGGTACTTTTTTCTTACCGTGTGCTTACCGCATAAATACGAACACCAGTATTACCAGAACCCTTTGCTAATTTATCTCCAATTTATATCTAGAAACATTTCATCTAAGACTCAAACACAGATCGAATGTTTAGTACGGTACACGGTAAATGAAACTAACTCACATTTGAGTCCCATTCAATCAAATTCGCAAAAACGTATAGCAAGCTGAACAATGCATTAGGTTCTAAGTAACATTGCCAGATTCTTTTCGTCAACATTCTCTTTGCATCCTCACGGCCATGTTAAGACATTCTCACCTAATTTCAGCACACAGATCGATAAAACAAGCTATTATCTAGCATTTTATACGACAAACATGACAGGAAATGGTTAACACACCAAATTTTGTTATTAAGTTCCAGCAAAACGAATTGCTGCATCACTTCCAGCAAAATCAAGTTTTGCTGGAAAATCAGTAATCTGATGAATATTGCTGGTTTTCAGCGATAAAAAATTGGTGTGAATTCAGTACCCAAGTTAGATTAACGCAAGTGAAAGTCAATGAAGAGAATCTATCAATGTTACTTGGGACCTAATGCATTGTGCAGCTTGCTACAGGGTTACTTTAACTCAATTGGGTTACTTTAAAAAATTGTTTTGCAGAATTATGAAATCATTTGATGTCATAATGATAATTCTCACTTGTAAGTTACAAGAAAAGGTCGTTAGGTATGTGTTTGACACATAAAATCTGTCAATATTGCTTTCAGTGCGTCACAATCTGCGATTTTACGATTCGTGAGCGCTGAAACCAAAATTGACAGGTTTTATGAGTCAAACACATATTTTACACCCTCTTCATGTTGATTACAAGCAGGGTTGCTTCCACTCACTTGCTATAAAAAAATATTATTCGGAATTATGCAATCATTAGATGCAATAATGCTATTTTGTACTTGTGAGTAACCAGAAGAGGTAGTAAAGTATATGTTTGGCTCATAAAACCTGTCAATTTCGCTTTGAGAACGTCACAATTAGTTATCTTATGATTCGTGAGTGTTCACTCAGAGTGAGCGCTCACGATTCGTAAAATCGCTGATTGTCACGCACTGAAAGCAATTTTGACTGATTTTATGTGTCAAACATATACTTCATGACCTCTTATTGTAACTTACAAGTAATAATTAGTATTATACTAGGGGAAAAGTTGGCTTCGGCAATACCTTAACCTATTATCGTCAGGGGGGTAAACAAAGTCCTAGAGCACTCAAATTTGGCCAATAGTTGCTCTGAAACACAATGTATCCACATGCCAAAATTGAGCTCTCAAGGACGATAATAGGTTAAGGTATTGCCGAAGAGAACTTTTCCCCTATATCATGATTTCATAGTTCCGAAAAACATTTTTTTATAGCAAGTGAGTGGAAGTAACCCTGATTACAAGTACAACATACCATTATATTATCTAATGATTTCATTATTCCGAAAAACAATGCTTTATAGAGTTGGTTGGAAATGCTAACATGAAGCTTTAGTGTGATGATTTATTAGCTAGAGAATGATCTTTAGAAGAATGTAGGTGGATAGTTCCGTTAGAGTACGGCAGTATGAAAATTGAATAGAAGTTGAAAATGAGCGAAGGGCCATTAAAGCGACAGTTTTCAAGATGACGCACATTTTTGCCTAGCCCGTACGATGTACGCGGGGACTTGAAGTATGTCTCCAAGTCCACAGGCAAAAATGTGCGTCACTCTTGTTGCTCATAAACTGACTGCGGCTGTGGAATAGTTCTAGCGACGTTTTCATCACTACCTAAAGCCCCACGTCGCGAGAGCATTTCCAGTCGATGGTGTGTTATAATGCAGTTCTTCTTTACCCAACTATTGTGTTGCTCCTCTCGTCATGACCAACGTGATCATCTCAGAGAGAAAGCAGTAGGGTGGTTGTTGCGTGCTGTACCATCATCAGCATTGTTGACGGCTACTCCCGCCTTGAGTTGTTACATTCAAAGTGTTTTTTATGTTACTTCATACGCGAAGTTAACGATTTTCAGAGTTGGTTGGAAATGCTAACATGAAGCTTTAGTGTGATGATTTATTAGCTAGAGAATGATCTTTAGAAGAATGTAGGTGGATAGTTCCGTTAGAGTACGGCAGTATGAAAATTGAATAGAAGTTGAAAATGAGCGAAGGGCCATTAAAGCGACAGTTTTCAAGATGACGCACATTTTTGCCTAGCCCGTACGATGTACGCGGGGACTTGAAGTATGTCTCCAAGTCCACAGGCAAAAATGTGCGTCACTCTTGTTGCTCATAAACTGACTGCGGCTGTGGAATAGTTCTAGCGACGTTTTCATCACTACCTAAAGCCCCACGTCGCGAGAGCATTTCCAGTCGATGGTGTGTTATAATGCAGTTCTTCTTTACCCAACTATTGTGTTGCTCCTCTCGTCATGACCAACGTGATCATCTCAGAGAGAAAGCAGTAGGGTGGTTGTTGCGTGCTGTACCATCATCAGCATTGTTGACGGCTACTCCCGCCTTGAGTTGTTACATTCAAAGTGTTTTTTATGTTACTTCATACGCGAAGTTAACGATTTTCAGAGTTGGTTGGAAATGCTAACATGAAGCTTTAGTGTGATGATTTATTAGCTAGAGAATGATCTTTAGAAGAATGTAGGTGGATAGTTCCGTTAGAGTACGGCAGTATGAAAATTGAATAGAAGTTGAAAATGAGCGAAGGGCCATTAAAGCGACAGTTTTCAAGATGACGCACATTTTTGCCTAGCCCGTACGATGTACGCGGGGACTTGAAGTATGTCTCCAAGTCCACAGGCAAAAATGTGCGTCACTCTTGTTGCTCATAA